GCAGGAGGACGTCATTATGTAGTCTTAGCAAAATTTATCATGACAGCAGTGCAAGAGAAATATTCCGGGGATGGTATAATTTTTCATGCGCTTTAGACTAATGACAAGGTAGGATGTTTTCCTTGGCTTCATAAGTAAACAACGCATCCTCTTGATAAGAGAGGCTATCATGTCGGATCAGAAATGAATTAATCGCTTGCTGTAATTAGTTACACTTTGTGCAGCTTCTTTCTGTTAAGGATCAGTGGGCTCCATGTAATTTTATAATGGCGATGATGTGTCTGCTCTTAAAAGTTGGGTGGTTTTTCTTCTTTAACAAAATCAATTGGAAGTAGATTACTTGCCTGTAGCTGGCTATTTCCAGAGCTGTCTCTAAGCTGCCTTTCCAATTGGTGGCATTTCTCCATCGCAGCAGAAGGTATTTGCTTGCTCTCTCTCGGGATGGTTGAGGCCACGGTGTGCTACGGAATAGCCTTAAAAATGCTCTAGAAAATTGTGGCTGCGAAGAGCAATTGGATTGATGGGTTTGGAAAGGTGAGGGGCAACGACAGCTCCATTACAGATACGAACCCACATTCATGTTAAAGCAGAAAGTGTAAGATGTAGAAGTTGCTGTTCCTGCAAAGTCGGAGGTTTGTATCAAGGTAATGATCACAATATAGAGCCTTAGTGGGAATAAGGCAGACTTTTAAGCTGGGAGTAGCTGTTTTAGGTTAAGAGCGTAATCTGCAACTGGGTTTTCCCTTTGTTTGTCAAAGTAAGTTTCAAACAGGCTGTGCTGGAGATGTGGTAGGATTCCACACGGAAATGCTGACCCACACTGGTGAGGGAGGTTCCTACCCAGCATATGGGATGGTTTATGGACCAGGGACTGATACTGGGGACCGTGGCGTCACACTTTGCTGTGCACCAGCCACCCAGGGTGGTTTTTGTCACATTTATATCAGTATCACAGAAGGAAAAGTCTTTTGACCATCTCATAGAATCATAGAATTGTCCAGGTTGGAAGGGACCTTTCAGATCATCAAGTCCAACCATCAACCCAACACTGACAAACCCACCACTGACCCATGTCCCTCAGCACCACGTCTGCCCGGCTTTTCAATCCCTCCAGGGCTGGGGACTCCACCTCTGCCCTGGGCAGCCTCTGCCAAGGATTGACAACCCTTTCAGGGAAGAAATTTTTCCCATCCTAAACCTGTGTGATCATCCATGTGGATCAGTATGTCAGCTGTCCTGACACACAAGCTGGAGAGGAGTTTGTGCTCTTGGAGAACTCGGCACATCGGCAGACGTCTGCTTTGGGCGCTGGACGTCAGCCTTGAAACGAGCCTTGTTCTGTAATCAGCAAGGGATTTAATTGTGAGGCTTTGTTGTGGAGTGGAGGAGACAGGCGACAGAATCCCTTGTGGCTTTTCTGTAAACAAATCTTTAATTCATGGATTTTTGGGTATTAGAGAATTTGCAGAAAAAATACCGAGGTCCTTTGCTTTGGTCTTTAGAGTAGTACTGAGAAGAGCATGGCGACTTTGTAACTGGAGATGAATTTCAATTAGAGCAAGTCCCTTAATTAGTGGCAAGAGTTACCCTTTCCACCCCTTTTTCTTCATCTTGCAGTGATTATGAAACTGGAGTAACTCAAGAAACATAGGGTTTAGGTTTCTGACTTACAAAGAGGCAACCACGTGGGTCACCAGGCTACTGGAGAGCTGGCAAACAGGGGTAGAAGATTGGTCCTGTCCCCTTGGCAAATACACTTCTGTTCAAGTAGTCGCATGGTTTATCTTTAATATGACTGCAGTAGCAGCAGTGCTTACCCAGTGCTGCTGAAATCCATCTGGAATTAAATTGGCCTTTAAGAAAGCACTTCGTGTTTTCTCTGAATCATAATAGTTTATGGATCCATGAAATTGGTTTTGGTCTGTTCAACATGTTGCTTAAATATTTTTAAAGAAGTTTTCCCTTTCTCTTTTCCTTTTCGTATCCGGCGTCGTTTCTTCTCTTCCCTCAGATTGAATTGGTTCGAAGAGATTACGTGGCCAACGGGGGCTGGGAGACCTTCCTCTCCTATGAAGACCCCGAGCAAGATATCCTCGTTGGCCTTCTGCGGCTGCGGAAATGTTCGGAGGAGTCGTTCCGGCCCGAGCTGAAGGGAGGAGTTTCCATTGTCCGGGAATTGCACGTTTACGGGAGCGTGGTCCCCGTCAGCAGTCGGGATCCTTCCAAATTTCAGCACCAGGTACCCCAAGCCATCTTTATTCTTCATCTGATCCTCTTCCTTGCACCTTGCTTCCCACCTCAGCATCATTGGAGAAATATTTTATTTAATATCTGAGATTCATTCAGTTGCTTGGATTATAGTCCACTGCAATGGAAACGGAATGGAATTTGAGCCCTTTTTTGCACTTCAGCTGCCAAAATCATGCTCCTTCTGAGTTTTTTGCTAGTGTGATGCTATTTAGGCAATTGCAACTGCTCTGAGATGAAAAAAAAGCATGTCTGAGTGTGCACAGCCTTGCTCCGTGCCCATACAACATGAGCTTGTGGATGCTGGGGCTAATTTGGCTTTCGAATACTAAGGACCTTTGGTTCTGAAGTCTCTTTCCTTTAATCTCCAGTGGGGTGCATCAGAATTCACTGAGTAAAAGCGAGACAAAAGGAGACACCCGTCGTGTCTTCTTATTTCCTTCTCAAATTGATCTTGTTCGGTAGATGAGTGTCACTTCTGAAATAATTACAGATGGGAAGGTGAGATTTTTATTTGGTGCTACCCCGTTCTCTTTCAAAGGAACATTTGTGGAACACATTCTTCCTCCCAAACCAGCAGAAACCCAACTTGGGTCATGAAATCTGTGTCAGTTTAAGCGATGGGGTGACTCCTGAGTCAGATCTCTTAAGTTGTGTCTGACAGTTTTTTTGCTTCAGACACACATTTCGAGGCCATTTCATATATATCTTAAAGCATGTGAGAATGGAGCAGAAAGCTGTGTTTCTAATTCCTTGAAGTGACTTGTGTGAAAATTGCACCTTCTCCTGCTGCTGCCTGTAACATGCTGTGGCTTGCGATGAGCAAAAAATGTGAATTAAATTTTGCCCCGGTAGGTTTTGAACCTTTCGACTGAGCTTTTAAAAAAGCAATCAGTTTGTCCTCTTTGGCAGAAGCGCTCAGGGCTGGCTGATGTTTTAAATTAACTTCCTTCTATTTATTAATCTTTCCCCGAGTGTATGCATTAAGATGTGGTTTTGCTAGACGCTGATGGTGTGTGACCAGAAGCAGTGGCTGGGGGAGGAAAAAAAAACCCAAAGGGAAAAAAAAAAAAAAAAGAAGAGGATGTTTCCGCTATAAAATAGTTAACACCTCAAAATTCAGGAAGGAAAAAGTAGTCACCCTAAGTATTTGGAGAAAAAAAAAATTAAAAAAAGAGAGAGAGACAGAGAAAATCAATTGAAAGTAGCCGACTACACACATTAAAATAGGCTGCAAATTGAAATTTCATGGCATATGACGCACTCGTGTTCGTTCGGAGTAGTCAGTGTTCAAGAGGTTAATCAGAAAGTGTTCTTCACAGTTGTGGGGGCAATTTCTGGTTAGAAGGATGTTTTAGGATGAAGATTTCTTTGTGTTATTTTAAAAATGCCTGTGAGTGTTAAATGTTTTTTAGAATTAAATGACATCTACTCCAGCGTCGCCGGAGCCTGAGTCTGTACATCTTGTCAGGGAAACAGAAGAACAAAGAGCTGAGTAGAATTTCTGCATCCTAACGTTAGGAGTGAATTAATCCAATCAATTATTCCCAGATATATAGGACAGCGAAGCTGTTAGATAGAGTGGAAAGGCTCTTCCCTTGTTTTGAGGCATTATTGGGATCCTGGTAGCACTTCTGCTGGGGGAGATTTCCAGCTGTAAATAGAGGGATGGATCTGGTCCAGAATGTGAACGTGTTCTTCTCCTGAGAGACGTTGGGACAGGGGATGGCTGTTGGTTATCTCAGCAGGTGTCATGGTTTGAGAAAACCCATCACAGTTTATTGTCATTTAGACAATTATTGTGTCACCTGATGACTCCTCCCCACCTGGAAAGGGGAATTGGGGAAAGGAATGAAACACAAGGGTTGAAATAGAGATAGATTTATTAGGATGAGAGTAAATAATTAAAAATAATAGTAAAGAACCAATATTAATTCACATATTAATAGAAGATATACAAGAATTATCCTTAACCTGTTTCATCAGTAGGAAGCTGGGCATTCCCAGCAGGGGACAACAAATGTCAGACCCTGCTTTGGGAGGATGGGAAGGGCTCAGGGGTCCAGCACCAGGGTGAGTTCTCTGGACCGATGCCATCAAGGGAGAGAGAGCCATACAGCAAACTTTCTAATTTACCTCAAATGTGATGTTCATGGTATGAAATGATCCTGTTGGCCACCCTGGGTCAAATGCCCAGGCCTTGCTCCTCCTTGTCCTTACAATGGGCAAGGCTTAAAAACGCTTAGACCTTGAATCTCAAATCCCATAGCTGGCTGTATAAAGTCAATATTTTCATTAATTTAGACACTGGAGTCTTCTAAAAGTGCAGTTTTCCCCAGCATTAGAAGAGAAATTAGTCCCGTGTCGCTCGACCCAGGGCAGCAGGGTAGAATTGTTCAGGAATTACAGGATTTGTACCAAGTTGACTTAACATCAATGGCTTTAACTTCGTTCTGTTTCTGCCGTGGAGAAGCAGTCGGGCACTAGAACTGCCAGGGAGTAATTTCACCATCAGAAAAAAAGCCCTGTGAGCACTCCACGGTAAAGCTCAGTGTTGGTACACCTCAGGCCCTCTCCTGCAATAAGGTTTTGATCATTCCTGTGCCAAAAATACGAGTCTTTTGAAACTGTACTAATGCTTACATTCTGACCTTGCTTGTGCTTTCTATTTTTACAGAACTTACCTTTTCTTCCTGTTATTCCTCCCATTATAGGGATTTGGTATGTTACTAATGGAGGAGGCGGAAAGAATAGCCAAGGAGGAGCACGGGTCATGGAAAATTGCTGTAATTTCAGGTATCTTTGCTTTATCCCTTTTTTTTTTTTTCAACGTATGTCTTAATCTGAAAATAAACCCACTGCAGCCAACGCCGCTGCTGTGAACTTTCATCGTATTAGATAGAAAATGAGCATCAAGCAGATGCTTCGTCGTAATGGAGTCAAATTCCATCGCAGGCTTTGTCCAGATAATAAGATTATTGTAAGCAACGTACCGGGGACACGCCGCGGGGAACCGTCCTGCGCTGGGTGACGAAGGAGCCAGACCACGGGGGTCTTCCTCCTCCAAATGCTGCTATTCCCCACCTCGTGGGTTGTTATTGTCGAGGGGCTGCTTTCCGGAGCTCGTAAGGATAGAAAATTGCCGGTCTCACATTTTAGAGTCTTTCTGCAAGTACCGTCATTAGGGAGGACAGATGTGCTTTTAGGATACATTAAGCGTGATCATGGAGAAGGGAGCGATGCAAGAGAGAGAGCTGCAGCCCTTTTCTCCTCTTTCATTTTCAAAGCATTGTGTCTGAGAGAGGCATCGGCTCATGGCGTGCCTGTGAAATCAAAGTTGGGACTACCTTAATTTGTCTTCTGTTAGCTGTTAGGGGAGCCACATGGGTTTTATAACTGGGGAAGCTGGTGGGTTGTATGGGAGGAGAAGCTCTTGTTGGCGTAAGACTAACGGATGTGGGGGACTTAAACGGAATAGCTGGGATATAGACTCTTTAAAAATATTAATAATCTTGTGCCACCCCACCAAAAGACCCCAAAATGGAGAAAACCCCAACTTTGATCCCAGCTGCTGAGTGTTGAGGAGCCTCTCGATGCTCCTCAGCGTAACGGCCCTGGGTGTCGAAAAGCCAAATCGCGTCGTCTCGATGAGTGCTTGTGACAAGACAGCAGCTAGATGCTTAAAGATAATTCTATATTCTCCAAATTCCCTATTTCTTGTTTCCTTACGATATATCTCAGTCCTGTGTCCCTCTTGCTGCTGCAGTGTCAGTTTGAACTGAGAACTTCGTAAACGGCTCAAAAACATCCATTCCACCCCAGAAAGGAGAGAGGAGAAAGGCAAAATGCTTTCTTTCACCAAGAAAGAAATGCTTTGTTTCATCCCAACCACCTTGGCTCAGGATGGGTGGAGGGAGGACGTCGCGATTCCTCCGTGCTAGAGAACACTTCTGTTGACGAGAACACAAAACGCACAGCAATTACTAAAAAACGATTTGCAAAAGCATTCACGTTGCTAATTTTAGCTGTATTTTAGCAAACTGATGCGAAGAATACACTCTTTGCATCCGAGATTCAGCGCACGAGGTCTTGTTTTGCTGCATGCACAGTTTGTGGCATCTCACTAAGAACTTGTCTGCGATTTTTTATTTTTTTTTTTACCTCCCCCCTGGAGTGCCAAGTACAATATGGTGCAATTTGTCTTTGAGTACAGAATCCTCCAGCATCTGCACAGACCACAAGTTTTCCAGCTGTTTCCTTGGAGATGTTACCACTTGAATTGCAGTTCTCCTCTAGGTTTTATCTGAAATAAACACGCAGCCAGAAGTTCTTTCTCCATTGGAGGATGAACTTGGTTTTGCTAATTTTCGTTTCCAAATAGATTTATATTATATTTTTTTTTTCAATCTGGGAGCGCACTGCAAGGTTGGGTCTCCAGCATATTGCAAAATTTCGACTGCTTTCTAGAGAGAAGCATGTAAAGGAGGTTCTGCTTTGAGGATGTCTCTCACAGGGCTCTATCTCATTAGCACTGCGTGTTTTTATGAATGCTTTGTTGCAGTGTTTTGTTTAACAGTGTCCTTTCTTCAACAGTATTTGCCAGTCTCTCTCTTAATGGCTACATCAGTGTTAGTCGACTAAATAGTGTCAGAACATCCAAACTGGCTCTTCAGGGAATGGTCCCTGCTCCACGCTGATGCCTGCACTCTGCAAAGTACCGGGATGGGTGGTTGAATTTCCATCCTCTAATGATTTTGAGGAAAGTTTTGTCTAAGTAGCAAACTCTCTTTGATTTCTTCCGAAAGAAATACATGTATTTGTAGAGGTATATGCCTATAAATAGTTAAAGGTGGGTGTCAAGATGATGGGGCCAGTCTTCTTTCAGTGGTGCCCAGTGACAGGACAAGAGGAAATGGGCACAAACTTGAATATAAGAAGTTCCATCTCAACAGGAGGAGGAACTTCTTGACTTTGAGGGTGGTAGAGCCCCGGAAGAGGCTGCCCAGAGAGGTGGTGGAGTCTCCTTCTCTGGAGACATTCAAACCCCACCTGGACACGTTCCTGTGGGACCTGCTCTGGGTGGACCTGCTTTGGCAGGGGGGTTGGATTAGATGATCTCAGAAGGTCCCTTCTAACCCCATATCGTTCTGTGATTTTAAGAAAGGACATCGTGAAGGGTTTTTGTTGTTGGCTAAAGGTTAGGGCTCATCTCTAAGATTAGTTCCAGTTCAGCTCTGGTTAGAAATTAGCAGCAGTCATCATGATGAGGGGGTTGACTATGATGATCGTTGGATGATCATCCAACCCAACCCATTCAGTGATTCTGTGATCCTCTGTGGCTGTTCCCCACCTTGTCTTTGAGTCAGGGGGGTCTCCTACTGATTGTTTTAGGACAGCCCATTTCCTTGGGACCCCAAACTGGGTGCCCCCCATTATCCTGCTGAATGGCACTTTGCAATATTGATCACTGAAGATATTTCTCTCCCCAGATGTGGGAGGCCAGATGTCCATCTCTACCTCCAGGTGGTGGGAGGCCCACTCACCTTTTGGGGGATGAATTTGGGGAACTGGATAACTCTGGGGGGGTGGTGTCCAGGAGCCTCTGGCTGATTATTTGCCACTGCCTTGGTTTGAAGCGTGGCTTGAAATCGGTTCGGAAATGCATTCAGCGCAAGCCAGATTAAGGTAAATTGAGATGAAAGTATGTATGGACAACATCCAACCCAGGCAATACTGTCACAAGTGGTTATGAAAAAGAACAGGAAAGAAAGGGGGAAAAAAACCACCGTATGACTAATCTGCTTTTAGTGAGGTTCCATTAGAAACGCCTCTCTCCTGTCCAGCTGATTTGCTGCCCATCCTGATCAAGGTGGTATTCAACGTTTCCTGACATCTCAGGCTGTGTCCATTAGAGCCTCCCTCATTAGAAACCTCTTTCTTTCCTCCGTGGCAGAGCACGGTACCTGCCAGAGCCAATTTTCCTTTTGTCCAGGCTCCCTGGAGGACTCCAGGCATAATCTTTTCCCCTCTACTTGCTTCCTTCCTACCCTATAACCTCGTCGATACTCTTAATTAAACATTATTTCACCTGCCTGCGAAGGCAGAGGTCCCCTTCTTTAGGTCAGGTGTTGGGTCTTGTGCTTGCCCATTTCTTGCTCGGAGGAGGGCGAAGGCTCCTTCCCCCTCAGCGGTGACTCAGCGGCGAATTTCGGTGGGAAGTATTCACATTTTTATATTCTCCATCAGGCAGTACTGTAAAAAAGCACTCGATACAAACATGTAAATGGGAAACGAGTGAGTAATTCATGATTGCCTCCTGATTAAGATCGGTAGGACCATAAGAATCAGATTGGGGGTGAGTGATCCCAACATCTTTCTCCTAAGCCCGCTGCGGCAGCCAGGAACCCACAATGGCCAGGCTGTCAATAGAAATTAAACTAATCCCACCTGTTTTCTGTGGTCTCCACCAGAGATAAAATCCTTCATTACCGTCGGTGACTCATCCCCCAGTCTGTTGGTGCTGCTGGAGCTCACCGCCTCCTGTGTTTAAGGAAACTGTTCTAATCTTGCCTCTGCCTTTTGCAGTTCAGGAGAAAAAAGGAGGTTCAGAACTTTCTAAATGTAAATGCGACGCCTCGTGCCGGTGTTAAATTCCCCTGCGGTGAGGAGCCTTAAGGGCAAAGAAACCTCATGAGGTTCAACAGGGAAAAGTGCAGGATCCTGCACCTGGGGAAGAAGGATGTTAGGCATCAATACAGGTTAGGCATGGACCTGCTGGAGACAAGCTCTGAAGAAAAGGATCTGGGGGTCCTGGTGGACAACAAAATGACAATGAGCAAGCAATGTGCTCTTGTGGCCAGGAGGGCCAACGGAATCCTGGGCTGCACAGGGAAGAGTGTGGCCAGCAGGTCAAGGGAGGTCATTCTCCCCCTCTACTCTGCACTGGTGAGGCCACAACTGGAATCCTGCGTCCAGTTCTGGGCTCCCCAGTTCAAGAGGGACAGGGAACTACTGGAAAGAGTCCAGCGTAGGGCTACAAAGATGATTCAAGGACTGGAGCATCTCCCTTATGAGGAGAGACTGAGAGAGCTGGGACTCTTTAGTCTGGAGAAGAGAAGGCTGAGGGGAGACCTTATTAATGCCTACAAGTATCTCAAGGGTGGGTTGAAGGAGGAGGGAGCCAGACTCTTTTCAGTGGTTCCCAGTGAGAGGAGAAGGGGCAACGGGCACAAGTTGGAACATAAAGGGTTCCACTTGAATATGAGGAAGAACTTTTTTCACGGTGAGGGTGACAGAGCCCTGGAACAGGCTGCCCAGGGAGGGTGTGGAGTCCCCTTCCTTGGAGATTTTCAAGACTTGCCTGGATGCTCCTGAGTAACATGCTCTGACAAGCTCTGGGTGGTCCTGCTTCAGCAGGGGAGTTGGACTAGATCTCTATGGTCCCTTCCAACTCTAAAATTCAGTGAAATTCAGTGAAACCGAGGCGGCGTATAAATCAGCGGGGAAGGTTTCAGGGCACAGTTGACGGCACGCTAAACTATCCTAATTTCCTCCTGTAAACAGCCTTTCGGTCAACCCTAGAAGTCATAAATTAACTCGGGGCAATCAGCGTCTCGTGGTTGATGATGTTGATTCACGGGGCTGCCTGGGAGATTGCCGGCTGCCGGGGGGCGGACCCGGGGGACCTCGGGACTGGGAGACTGGGAAGCGTTGCTGGGAGGATGGATGGGGTTCCCGAGGGCTCCCTGGAGTCCCACTTCTAGCCCTGGTTGGGTATTTTTAGAACTGTCAATCTT